CCAGTGTCAGCCTTGGCAGGATAAATCTCCCTAGACTTATCCAACGGCTGTGAACATTCTAAACTAACACGAGTCTCATAAGTGTCCAGTTTAAGGGTATTACACAGAAACACACCACAGGAACATGAATCAAATATGTACTTTATTCATTTACAATAAATCCATAATGTACATCATTCTGATTGGAGCTAAGGGCATACAACTGTCTAACAACAATATAATCTATGTTGTGGTGGATTGTTTCTCAAAGATGGCTCATTTCTTACCATGCATCAAGACACATAATGCTTCACATATTACTACTATATTCTTTAAAGAAGTAGCTCAATTTTAATGGAGTGATTGCTACTATTGTATCAGATTAGCATACCAAGTTTATGAGTTATTTTTGGAAGACACTTTGGAAACTACTCAATACTCAAATGAAGTTCTCTACATTGTTTCTCCCCCAAATAGATGGTCAAACTGAGGTAGTCAATAGAAGCTTGGGAGATCTTTTATGGTGTTTGGTTGGTGATGATACTTCCAAGTGGGATTTAGTGTTGCCAACAGTTGAGTTTGCTTATAACAGCTCAGTGAATAGATTCATAAAAAGAATTCCACATAAAGTGGAAACTAGTTCAGCCTAAGCAGCCAATTGATTTATTTACTTTACCGCCAGATGCGCATACCGGTATTAAAGCAGAAGTATTTGCTAGGCTCATCAAAGAGATACAACATGATGTTAGGAGAAAAATTGCATTGAGCAATGATTTGTAYAAGACTAGAATTGATACTCATTGACGGTTGACAAATTATCAAGAGGGAGACATGGTTATGGTACATATACGGCTATAGCGGTTTCCTAAAAGTATGTACAAGAAGTTCCACTCCAAGAGCTCATGTCCTCACAAAATCATCAAGAAGATAAGTAGCCTATGTTCTAGAGTTTCCAAATGGCATGAGAATTAATCCTATTTTCAATGTTGAGGACTTGATTTCTTACCACAGACATGTGTTTTCTTTTAAGGCTACTATACCTAACTTACCAACTATTGCAATTACAAATAACGTTCTAGAGGATGTTTTATATGAGGAGATAATATCTACTGCTACAGGAGGGTATCAGAAATTCCTTGTCAAGTGGAAAGGCAAGCTTATGTCTGAGTGTTTTTAGATCATTGTTGAAGTCTTTCATCATATCAACCCATATCTTTATGAAAGATACCATACTTTTAACTCAAGGTCAAGTTCTTTGAAGTCGGGGAGAGACGATAGGGATCAATCAGCACTCTTAAAGACTTATTCTAGAAAGAAGAAAGCCTAACAACAGGTCCTAATATGTAATGATGGTAGGGATTTGGACTGAATTGGACACCAAGGGTGTTTTTGTCATTTTACAATTTTCTGTGGGGTCCAATGATAGGGTTTGRTTTGCCTAGTTACAGTTTGTCTATGTTTAAAGTTTCAAACTCATTGAATAAGTAGGATTAGAGTTATTGAGTCTAACCATTTGACTCCAAGGATTATTATGAGTTTAGAGTATGTAAATATGCATGTATATTTTACACCGTGATCAATGAATTTTATTGAGTTTTCTTGAGCTTATGCTAATTATGGTGAGTGACTCCCATACCCTAGAGTGATTCTAGGCACCCCATGAGTGATTCCAAATATTCTCTCTCTATTTCCTTTCTTATTACTTCAAGAAGCCATTACAGCCCACAACTAGGGGTGATCATGATTCATGAAAAACCAAAAAAACATAACCAAACCGATGAGACCAAACCGAAAATTCTGGTTAACTGAATCGATCGGTTCAGTTTTGGTTCAGTATTTTCGAAAAACCAAAGGTAGCGGTTTGGTTTCAGTTAACTAATACAAAAACCGACGGTTAACCAAACCGGCCAATATACATAAATTTTTATATTATACATTTATGTATATTATATATTTTTCATATATTTTATATTTTTATATATTATAAATGTATATATATGCATTATATATTATAATATATATTTATAATATAAAATACATTATTTATTATTTATAATATAACATTTTATATGTAATATAAAAAATATAAAACACATTATTTATATATGCATTATTTATATATGTAATATAATATAAAATATATYTTAGATTTTATAAAATATAAAATACATTATTTATTTATAATATAAAATATATTATGTATGTAATATAATATAAAATGTTATATTATAAATAATAAATAATGTATTTTATATTATAAATACATATTATAATATATAATGCATATATATACATTTATAATATATAAATAATATAAAATACATGAAAAATATATAATATAAAAATTTATGTATATTGGCCGGTTTTTTATAATATGATATAATCCATATAAAAATTTATGATATAATATTTTATACTTATTATATATAATATGATGAAATCAAAAAACCAAAACAACGACGAAGCAAACCGATCAACCAGTTAACCAATCAGCTTTGGTTTGGTTTCGATCACCGGTTTTCCAAAAACTGGTACTACCAGTTCGGCTTAGAAAAAAAGGCCCACAATTTGATCAACCGAACCGTGAGCACCCCTACCCACAACAGCCATAAATTTTCTATCATAGAAGGCCATTCCACATTCTCTAAGGACTGAAATTGGGCAGGTCATACATCATGGGCTTAATTGTATACTTTACTACCACTAGGGTATATATTATAAATAATAAAGAGGGTTCTGCCAGCCCATCTTTTTGAGCTTTAAACCTTTCTTCTCTTCTCTCCCTTGTTCTTAATTATTCTCTCTCTTCTTTATTGTTACTGCACTATAGTAAACATACCAAGTAGGCATATACTTAAAGACCCAAGAAAGAATTACCTCATAACTGAACTTGCGTTTGTGAATGGGCTTAAATTTTCGAACATCCAGTATTGTTAGCTCATCATCCTACATAAAATAGAACAGTTGTAGCAAATAGAAAGCCATAAGCCAACTCTGGTGACATCTGGTAATATCTAAGACAAGCATTAGCAAGAATTTTAGTCCCAATAGAATTAACAAGTTCATAAGAAGTCTAAACTAAAGGAAAGATGTGACTAAGGTGCCTTAAGTAAGCATTCAATATTATAATGAAATTTGAAATAATACAAGCTTTGGGGACTAAGAAATATACCCTGTTCCCAACAGCTATGTGTGTCCCATCAGGTTTGTATGTGATGTTGATATTTTCACCACTTAGTTCAACCTGCTGAGAGCATTTTCCACCTAAAGAAATCAAATGTTAATAAACAAGATATTTCAACATATAACAGAGACAGAAGGAAGCAGTAAAGCATCATAACAATAAAAGTATAAGAGCTTAGAAACAAAAGAATGATTCCTGTTTTAATCTATCAGTTAGTTGAAGGGCAGCCCAGTGCACAAGGCTCCTGCCAATGTGGGGTCCGGGGAGGGATAGATGTACACAGCCTTACCCCTGCAAATACATAGAGAGGCTGCTGTTTCCAATATTTGAACCCTGGTCATCCTGGTCGCAATGTTAGTCTTGCAGGTAACAAGAAATGCAGAAACCATTTCCACTAGATATAACATGGGAAGCAACTGCCAAGAAGAATCCACAAATTTGACTGGATACGAATAATGGACATTTTAAGAGAAAAACTGTGGTAAATATCTTTTACTGTCCACATGAATGATGAATCAACTAAAAATCCAATGACCCTTTGCTAGCCTCTTTTTTTATGAAGAAGAAATGCTTTTTCATGGCAGACTATCAATTTCTCGTTGGTTGAGCCCTATGTTCAAGTTCAACAATTTAAAAATAAGACAGCAACCATGACCAGTTATTTACAATCTTTTCTTTTTCTTCTTTTTGATTAGAACACAATGAAGGGAATTTATTAAAAAAAAAAATGATGAGAGATTCCTGCTACTAAATATGGCTGGCAAATTTATGCATTATGCAATCTCCATTTCAGAGTTGCACCAAAGCATCAGTGGCTAGAGAACCCCATACAAGTTATGGTATTCCCGTCCCTTTGGCAAGTGAGTATTAACATTGGTTGATCTACTACACACATGAATGAGCTGCTCAAAGAAAAGGCTAAGTATCCGCAAGGTTCAGAATATCAATACAGGCCGATACGCCAGATGGGGCGTATTGGCCTAGCCTTTATTTTTCTTTTAGTTTTTTTCTCTCAAACTGGTTCAGGGGAGTCAGTTTAAGGCCCGTCTACCCCCTGAAATGTGTAGGACCCCCAAACACTATGTATAGGGGCCCTAATACGATACGTATCGGCCGATACGCGCTGTTATGTTGCGATATTTCAATCCTTGAGTATCCGTCTGAATGGCCAGTTATTTAACAATGTAGCAGGCTTGAACTTCAATGACCCTGATTCAGTTGCAAATAATTTTCTTTATCTTAAATGTGAGATCCATGATTCATGAGAGTTTCACAAAAAAGTTCTAATGCCAGCAACACCAGTGAAAACAAGTGATCTGTTGCAGGTTGAAGGCTCTAGAAGAGCTAGGGCAGACAAAAAAAGAACATGGGCTAAAATAGTAAAAAACGGCTTGAAAGCCCATAATTTAACAACGGATATGGCACTGAACATAATGGAATGGCAGAACAGGATTCATGTAACCAACCCTATATACTTGGGACAAGGCTTAATTGAGTAGAGTGGGTATCTGTGAGATGGTGTCCAATTTTCAGTTATCCACAAGAAAGCATAAAAGCAACAGGTTTGTTTACCACTATTGTAAATAGACACAACACTTGCAATTCTCCAGAGGAAATGAACAACAATACTCAGCTCAACTAGCATTCCCTCCCTAACTTTTTTTACTTATTTTGTGTGTGTGTGTGTGTGATGTGCAGCACTAGTATGGCCACCATTTTCAAAATTTATCACTTACTACGGGCATCCCACAGGCGGACAGTCTTATCACCCGATGCAGTTGCAATTAAGTCAGCATGTTTTGGATCCCAGCATAGCTGGTCCACACTATCTGTGTGTCCCTTCAACTCTACGTCTTTAACCTTGCCCTGCAACAAGTTTCACGAAGCAAAATATCAGTGAAAAGATGAAGATATACATGAGAGAGAGAGTGTGTGTGTGTGATCTTTCCTTACAAGAAAAAATTTTAAAAGGGCAAAAATTGTAGAGAACTATCTCAATTAGATCTCAAATAGTTGTTTTGCATGCCCGACTGAATCCCCCGCCGAGTTCTGAATCATGCCAAATTCTTAATTGATTTCGCAAATAGCATAGCAAAAACTAAGCAAGCGTACATCTATATCGTACCAAAAATGTAGCTAAGCATGATCTTAAGTATCCAACTAGATTGATGGTTATGTGCTGCTATACCCAAATAGACATCGTTGCTACTAACAAGGAAAACCACAGATTAATTTATAGCAATGGGGAAATAAAGTGGGGAAAGTCCAGGAGCCTCAAATGATCTGAGAACATGAGGCTATAGATAAAAGAAGCTTACATGTCCATGCGACTCGATGTGCCAGACTCTAGCTGTTTGATCAACAGAACCAGATGCCAATTTCGTGCCTGTGCAATTCCAAGCCACCGAATGCACCTTTTGAGCAGAAGACGAACCACTCGTTAATTTCTAATAAGGGATGTAAAATAAAACCAGGAATTCTACAACCCCATTAGTGGGAACATAAACCTAGGATTTCTGCAACATAGAGTGGAGTTCATAACAAACATCTGAAGGTGTTTGTATGATTGAGGGAGAGGGGCGGATGAGGGAATACCTTCTTCTTGTGACCTTGATATTCTCTGCTGTGAAGATTTTTGAATGGTATAGTGGTGTCCTCCATCTCTGCAACCTTTCGTTAATGAAAGGAATAATGGGGGAACGCCTAATTCAGAAGGAAACGCCGCTTTTTTCAGCAGCGGGAAAGTATTGGGGCATTAGCTAGCCGGTTCGCTGGATCGGGCAGTTATGGATATCGGATGGTATCCGAACACAGGATCCTAACAACCAGTCACAATTAAATGGGTTCAGTGCTAACCAGGACTCCGGATCTCCTGCCCACGTGATACTATAGCTGTATATTGGGAACATCTACGCATGAATGTTAACATGTAGATGCTGAAGATGTTCCGAAGCTGCAGTGTTATGTGGGTAGAGTGTATAGGATTTTTGTGGGCAGAAGATCCGAGCTCTCTTACAAGACCGTGGGAACGGTTACAGCGATACAAAGATGCAATACGCTCTTTTAAGGGTCAAATCCGATTTCAGTCACAATCGTCTCAGCCATGCATGGAGAACATCTCCCTTAGTTGTCCTCAATGGCGAGGTATTTCCAGTGTACAGCCGCAATGGTTGTTGGCATCCTGTTGGGGGATTAGATTCGGTCTTGTCGTTATGCGGGTGTTGTCTGCATCCATGTCACTCCGTCATGAACCAGATCATATTGGTGCCCCACCGTGTATTGGGAATATCTCCTAATGACAAGTTCGGAAGATGTTCCCAATACACATTAAGATGTGCATATGAGCCTATGTAGTGCGTTGCTTTTGGGGCACAGATATAAACTCCACATGAACAATTATCAAAAGTTGTAGATGTTTCTCATTCAAAGTTCAAACCTTCAAATAATCACCTTTCTTACCCTTTTCTTAGGTTTGATCATATCCTCTTAATTCTTATTTCTTAAGAATAATCTTTTAACTTTAAGAGAAAAATGGTAGTCCATTTCCTCTTATCTCTTAAAATGTAACTATACAACTTTTTGTTTTTCAATAATACCCCAAAAAAATAAACAAAAATCCTCATACATAGGGTTAAAATAGATTTTGATAATTTTCAGAATTCAGAATTTAGAACAACGTTCTCTGCATTCAAAGTTTAAAAGAAAAAAAAGTTCATCAATACCAATATAACTCTTACTGTAATTATTGTACTTTCAGATGTTAGACTTCAGTGCAAACGAATAAACCCTTAGTGAGATGCACCAAAAATACCCTCATGCATGGGGTTGGCCTACCAAATACCTCGCTTCCCAAACCCGATGGACTTGGATGGAAATTGAATTCTTGGAGATGGGTATTGATAATGAAACTAGATGGGAGATGTTGGGGAGTAAATTTCTATTTCTTGCCCCACCCCAACCCAACCCAACTATATATAGTGGGAACATGTGCGATGTACGAGGTGGTATTAAGTAGATCTTTTATACTATCTCTTATGATTTTTTTTTAACTTTTAATGACTAATTATAACTTTTCAAATAAAGATAATTATTGGGTAATTCTTGGTAATTATTGTAATGTATTTGGGTTTACATTATGTGATAACCACAGGTAATTATCATCATAATTTATACTACTTTTTGGATAAATTCTTTTAATTTATTTTTGATAATTTTTATGGTTATATTATTTGACATTTTTAAGTACAACAATCTGGAAATTAAAAAAAATCCAAATAACAAGATTTTTAACTAACAATACGTAATAATCTACAAAGCACAAAATATACAAATTTAAAGCAAAGCAACTACTCATCAAGCAAAATTCAAATAACCCATAAATTTAAACCAAAGCAATTCAATAAGAAAAAGTCAAACATTATTTTTGCTGATTTTTATTAACAATATTTATTAATTATTTATGAGAGTAATCACCAAGTTTATTTTTAGTAATTTTTTTATAATTATTGATAATTTATTGTTGAATAATGGTAATTTACTATTGGTTATATTATATGATGATTATTCATAAATAATAATTTCTAT